GGATTTGGAGATTTTGTGCCGAAGTCTGTGTATGATATACAATCAGACTTCTATCCGACGGTAGCGCTCGAGTACGGTGTACCGCTCGACACACGCCACACGTACACAAAGACGGACTGGATGCTGTGGGCTGCGGCTATCTCTAGTGAGGAGACCCGCGATACCTTCATTCGCCTGATCGCTGGCTGGATTGATAGCACGCCTACTAACAAGCCGCTCACTGATCTTTACGACGCTGGTACCGGCGATTACCCCGGCGGCCTCCAGTTCACGGCGCGACCTGTGGTCGGTGGCCACTTCGCACTGCTAGCACTACCATAGCCAAAGGATGCGACATAAAAAGGAGATTTATTAATTTTTTGTTACCACCTAATATTTCGGCATATTTCCGATATTCTATGGAGAGGCAGAGAGACGGGACATAAAATCCAACTAATTTTCTTTATATTAATTCCTAGCCTATGCCTCTCCTGTCCTCCCTCTTCGCAACCTTCGCTCCTCTCTCACGTATATATTATATTCACATGTTCAGAAGTGCGTAGTTGCCTGGCTACGTCCTCCTGTTCTGTTCATATGTTAGGATACCCAAACATCCGCTCATAAGGCATGGAAGAGGTCCAAGCTACGCGCGTATATCTTAGGCGTGCTGGGACGCGATGAAATAGGGGACGCTGGAGACAAGAGACGACAAAATTCCGCGTCACCCGTTTCAAGGGGCAATACGTTTGAGATCTACGCATTCCAATCGTTCCGTCGGAAGGATGGAAGTGAAATGGAGATAATGGTAAGCAGGATACCGGGAATACTGCGACCAGTTTCACCAGTGAACATTTTCCCAGGCAAAGCATGCATGGATGAGCATATACAGTGCACATTCATATCTTCAAAGCGACGGTGTTAGGAACCAGGGCTACATATTCTTTTCCACAATATAAGGTCTCTTGTTGAATCTTGTCTTACATTGACTACGTAAACTTGTTGGCATCTTCGTAGGATTACGCAGTATAGAGGACATGGAGAAATCGCCTAGATGAATCTCTCTTCATAGATTAGAGGTCTCAGTTCTGGAATGTAAAATGGTTCACAAATATCCGGTTCCTGGTCTAGAACACCTACCTCCCGAACATATAGTGATTGGACAATGACTTGGTGTAATGTTGTAGATCAGGTACGAACGACGTAAGGGAGTGTGAATATTGACTATGAATGTGCATACATACATACCTCATATGTACATAGCAGCCAAGAATGAAAAGGGGTAAGGATAAACCCAGCAGAATACGAGAAGATATTCCCGTGGGGTTGGCGAAGTACAACGTTAAAATCATGCATGAACAGATTATATCACATCTCATCATCGAATCTAACGCATCGAACGTATCGAACGAATATATCATCATCACTAAGCCAAGGTTATGCCAACCTTTTATTTCCATCAAGAAAAACGTCGCAAATCAGATCAGCCATCACATACATATATAGAACAATCTCCAATTTACCCCTGCACTAATAACCGCCGAACCGCTTAGTTTTCCAGATCCAAGGGACAGGGAGTTCCCCCTCTGCCCCCTTTCCGTTCCCCAAGTATTCCCGATCTTTGTAGGTATCGCGGTAATATCTATCTACCTCCTATCTATCCAACCTGATTTATCCGACAAGACAGACCTGCATTACATCGCATCGAGTTTCCTGTCCTCGTGTTCTAAGAAAACCTAACGCGCCGCTGACGGCACCGCGCATCACCATCGAAACACTCCGAGCTTTATGGTAGCACATTCATTCTATTTTGTACCTACCTATGCATGAAGTCCCTGCTGTAAGATATGATATGATGTGCAAATAAAATGGTGTAAACAAACAAACAAAGCGATACGACCCGGAGCACCGGGCGGAACTACTTCATTGGATCGCTCTACAAGTTCTCGATCAGGCGATCATCGATCATTGATCATCAACAAGTTCGAACTCACCACTTACACCCTCGAACTCCGTGATCTGCCCCGCCAAGTTCTTGGCATCACCAAAATACCGGATCCGGTAGCGTCCCGGCTCCGCCCACGGGTCCGCCGTCTCCCAGGTTATTTCAACCTCGCTGGTACCCAGTAGCTCGCTGGTGCGGCGCCACCGGAACACCAGGTGCCAGTCGCTGTCGTCACGGAATACTTTCCATACTCCATCGATGAGTTTCTCAACGAGGGCATAATTCCGCTCGAGGCGGAGACTATTTCTTGGGTTGGCACCGACGAATTTCGTAGTTACTCGTACGCCTTTTTGGTACTTCTCTTCTACGTCTTGCTTAACGTCGCCGAAACTTCTAAAGAGAGGCGGGGAATCGTGAATGACATGAGGGATGAAGCTAAGACTACGATTGCTGTTATCTGGTGGTTGTGGTCCTTTCGGTGGCCGGCTGTTAGCCGACGAACTCAAGGACGATATCCAGGACAGAGTGACGTTTATATAGGCCGCCAAGGTGTGCGGCCCGTATAGTGTGCTCGCACCTTCGTATCGTTGAATCCTATTTTTGAACGTAAGCCTTACTGAATTTTGCATAAAATGCTATGCACCGCACTAAAGTTAAATTGGGAAGATCCACAAGGATAGACGACGAGTCTCCACGTAGATATCATGGTTATATCGTGGTTGTAGAAGTGTAAACGACCGCCAGTACGAAAAACCAAGAAAAATGTGTAATAAATAGCTGCATGCGAAGAGACAAGAATTATGCTTACCCGTATTCTTCTTCCGTGGTGATATAATGCGTGTAGCTATTTGCAGGTCCACCGAGAACAACGACAGGGGAGGCCGATCGAGCCTCATCTGCAAACAGCGCCGTGACCTCGTCACCAACTGCGTTTTTCCAGCGTCGTCCAGCCATGGTTGTTGCTTCACCCGGACTAACAATAATTACCAACTGGCCGACGTGGAAAACTTGTACATCAACAACGTTTGGAGTCCATTGATACGGGCTAGACATCTCACCGACATCAAGTAAGATGGGTTTTGGGGCGTGACATGCGATTTGTTCCTTTGTTGGATTCTTCAACATACCGCCTACTATACGCCATACTGGAGATGTGTTCGAAGCATTGTTGTTATGTTGAGTGAAGTCGAAAGCACCAGGTCCATCAGAGGTACCAGCTGCAAAGGAGTGACCCAATGCTGCAGGACATGTTCTGACTTCCGTTCCGTTGGGTAATTGGAATTGATGATTAGACATATTGTGAAATGTATGGAAGGACTTTACCCAGCTCCCGCGTACTGGGTTCGGTTCTTGGTTGAGTTGATCGTAGAGCTTCTTTGCAGGTTCGAATTGACGTTTACCAACCTCGAAGCATGAAGATGTCCCTTCATCGTCAGCCGTGAAAAAGGGGCCCCGAGCATGACAATGCTGAGATCTACCATTGCTGCAAGTGCTATTCTCAAAACTGCACATTTGTCCTGAACCGTCTTCACACCATGCTCCAAGAACATTGGGACTAGTATCACCGACATTTGCTTGCGAGAAGCCGGCAACAAAACCCTCTGCTGCAGTTTCATCACCTGCAACGCTCTTCTCAAACAGATATGCCGCCACTCCTTTATTATCGCCTGATATCAAAGTGTTGTTTCCAAGCACTGAGGTCCCATGCGTAGGGAACCAAGTAAGGACGCCAATGTTTTTGCCATCCGAAACTCGTTGGAATTTAAGCATAGTAAGGTCCTTCTCTACGGATCCATCATCTTCGGAACTAACATTGTGTTTCGCACGTTCTTCTTCCGGATTTGCGAGATAAGCGAAAAGGCTCCTGTTGATATTGGCCCCAAATACTTTAGTAGATCCAACACTGAGGTAACCCAGCGCAAGGCTTTCGTGCGCACGACGAACGGATAGGAGAGCACCATCGACTATAGCCCGATAACTCTGCTGGTCAAAGCCCTTGCTCGTGATCTGAGGTAACAGGTAATTGAGCCAAGCACCAGGGCCTGAATGTGAATGGGTGCCCGTCACAGCCAGATTGTGATGCCCGTAGTTTTCATATTCAGACCCCAGTTCATCCAATCCCGACAAGATACCATATCGGATAGCCGTATCGCCGGACTGAGTGTCAAGAACGAGGTATACGAATCGATCGGAGGGATTAGTAGGGTCGGCTACGATAAATGCTCGTGAATGGAGTCGTTGTCGCAAACCGGTTCCGATCTGATGCGGGTCGGCATAGCCCATTAAGTTGATCTCGACGCAAGGACTAAGATCCAGAAAATATGAGTATTATCACCAGAAAATAGTTTAGGGTTTATATAAATGCTCACCCAGTAATATCAGCCTTTCCAACTCCAATGAGATATTCATCGTCTCTACCATATGACTCTCCCTTCCAACTCTCCCCTGAGTAAGACGGCCATAACTTAAGACTCTGCGTCAGGCGTTGCGGCGTGAGACACGCGATCGAAAATAATATCGCAAACGGTAGGAATATTAGAAGTAATCTGGGTATTAGACTATTTCGAGCATCGCTGCTGTGATCTTGTCGCAATCCCGAGAGTAAGGGGGAGCCATCCCCATCTTTGTCGCTTTCTCGGCCCCGTGGCATATTGGCTCTCTTATTCTACTAAATAACACGGTATCAAGCGACTGGAAGCTAATTGTTCGGATACGATGGGCGCTACCCAGTATTTCTAGTCGGGGTGGGCTGCCCAAGGACCAGCGAGCGAGTCATTCAGCACAGCAACCAGAGGAGCTGGAGTGGCGGTTGTGTAGATATAACTAAATGCTATAACGGAATCATTCCCAAGGGTATTGTGCTGAGTATCTCGACGTAATAGTATTAACGCACACGTAGCGACTCGACTAAAATAAAAATACAAACCTAATCCTAGTTAAATGATGTCTTCCTTAGAACCCATCGCGAAGGCGCACCTGCCTATGTAGGTTCTAGGTACATACGGCAAGTATACGTCATTAGCAGCTCATTAGCAGCGAAACCCCTGCTGCAAACCCCCACTCTAGGCAATTCGAGGACCCCATTGCGACCGTTTTTCGCCTTTGCCGGTTCCCGCTGCGCTAAACGCAAAACAGCTGCTGGCACCTGCGCGTTTTGATAGCGATAGCGATATCAAAATTCCCGTTCCCGTTCGCAATCGCGTTCTTTTACGTCCTATTCGCGGTATTCAATTAGCGACAGACCAGACAGACAGATATAATTGACACCCATACGTTAGTCTATTATTAACTCTAAGAGCTCGACGTATCCACCATGTCCTTCTCCGTCCGCACTACGATCCATGAGTCTCTCCCTTGTAAGCTTCCAAGTTCCCCTTACACGGTGGCTATCACCCAATACTTATTTCAAGTACCTACATTGATATACATTCAAACTAACATCACCAACTAGACGTCGACCCCGAACCCACGCCAGCCGAGCGCGCAGCCGCTGAATCCCTAATCGCCCAAGAACAGCAATTCTCCGACTCTCCGGCTCCCTCCAACCTCCCCCCAGTCCCCTCCCCAAATTTCACCCCCGCCATAACCGGCGAACTCGCACGCATCGCCTCTAAGCAACCCCTACGCGCAATCGATCTAACCCGGTATGAAGCCAGCGACATCGACTCCTCCACATCCTCTGACCCCTCACATTTACAAACCGAACTCTCGCGGGCTTACACCGCAGCCACATACCTATCCGGCCGACACACACATCTACAGCTTCTAGACAGCTTCGGCAAGAACGCCTGGTTAGTCGGAAACTGGCAACTAGAAGCCGAGCTGCGGGATTTGGAGCGAGAACTCGACGCCGCTAAGAAGGAGATCGACGTCGTTAATATTCAACGGAAGCGTGTCCAAGATGAGGTTGGCGGCGAGCTGAAAGGGCTCGACGAGGCTTGGAGACGAGGTATCGGTAAGGTGCTCGAGACCGAGATTGCTACCGAAGGATTGAGGCAGCAGGTTTTGGAAAGGCAAAGAGGTAGCGCGTGAAACTATTGCTAGATTGAGTATTACATGGAAGAAAAGAAGACAAGGAAAGGATCCTGGGTAATGCGGGCCGGGAGACGGCGTTACGGTTGAAATTTGAGGAAACGTGGTACCAACTCATAACAGAATCACGATACCAGCTTAGGTCCTGTATGGAACAAGTTCAGATAGGTAAACTACCTCTGCTGCGGTATCAATAGCTACCACAAGTCCTATTTAATACGGAAAACGAGGGTAATTCCGAGAACGCCTCCTCCAAAAATGAATGCTGCCATCCGTCGTCTAAACTACCCCCCTTTCCTAGAGTGTCATGTCTAATCCTCACTGCCTATACATTGGAAATACGTAGTCAATTAAAATGTCGCGTGTAAGGGGTCAACGTCTTCAACCCCTGACTTAACACCTACGTACTTGGTTCTCCTCATGATACCCTCGACAGGTCCAAGTAGTCTCTGGAACGCGTTTTTGCCCAGAGTCGCAACTTTCACCTCAGTGGCACTGATGACGTCCGCAGCACGGGGCTTATCGTCCAAGAGCGCAAGCTCACCGAAGAAATCACCTTTCTTATAATGTTTCACCGACTCCGATCCCCCGTTCTTGAAGGCGTCTGCCTCGCCGTCCTCTAGGAGAAAGAATGAGGTACCGATATCTCCTTGCTTGATGATAGTGTAGCCCTTGGGAAACTTCTTCGTCTCCAACGCGTCGGCGATCTTCGATCTTTCGTAGGGCGTGAGAGAAGATAAGAGCGGCACCTCCTCCAGGAAGCTTTCGTATAATCTTCTACGCGCAAATGTAGACTCCATGAGAATCCGACGGAATGTGACGCGATCAAGCGCCCATAATGTGCAGCCAGACTCAGCAGAAGTAACAGTGGCGGCTCTCGGCGCATTGTACATCAAGGCCAGCTCACCAAAAGAGCCCCCGGACTGTATGGTCCCTACTCTGTTGCCCATACCATCAGGACCGGGTTGGAGTGAGCCCGCATCGTTGACGTATACGTCAAAAGAGCCCCTTTCGACGATATAAAAGTAGTCACCCGCATCACCTTGGGTAATAACCTATACTAACGTTAGGCTCTAACATGGGCATTGAGAGGGAGCGATGCATACTTTGATATCCTTAGCCGGAATTGGCTTTTCTTGTAGAGCGCCTAAGATCTGAGCATTTTGCTCGTCATCCAAGTGACTAAATAGGAAGTTGCCTTCGATGGCCTTCTTCAACCTCTCTAGCTGTTCGGCGGTTTTAGGGTACGATGGAGGTGTCCAGTTATCATTAACATCCGCCACTGGCTTCAACGATTCGGCGGAAACCGAGGTGCGACGGCCAAAGTTGTATTGGGCTGGGTAACTATCAGGATTTGGCGGCGTTCTGAACGCGGATGGAGGACCATCTAGCGACCCGTCCAAGGAACCACCAAAGGGGCCGCGGAAAGAAGCGCTAGGTATGGTGGTCACAAATGTACTAGGCCTTAATGACGGCGTTGTGGGCGAAGTGATGGTGTCGTTCTCGTCTTCCTCAACTACGTTTAATAAACCAGGTGGTGTGCTTCTGCCAGACTCGGATTTAGCCCCATCGTTATTGAAAGGGTTAGAGTTTGCCGCGAAAGGGCTCGTGAATGTTGTTCCCGACATGGTGCTAGTTCTATAGATTGGTGAAGAGCCTCTAGTTTTAAGATAGGTAGCACGTTCGTCGGCGAGACGACGAAGAAAATAGTCGGAGCAAAATTGTAGGATATCGGGTGGGTTTTTCAGCCGGACTTGATTTTCAAGGATTTCTATCTCATCTTGGTAAGCAACAGGTAGAGACATGGCGCATAAGGTAGCAAGAAGCAAAAATAAGGCAATCTATGAAAGCCTCGAGGACTCAATAGCTCAAGCTATATGGTCGGGGGCATAGGTAGATGCTTTCTGAATAAGAAACGTTCAGACTAGTGAGTAAAGGAAATATTGATTATAGTATTACCTAGGGGGTCACCTCAGAAGATATGGGTGCGATATACGTACAATATACGTGTTGCTGACTATTGATCTTGGTGGTTCTTGGAAATTCAAGTCGCTAGCATATCCAGCTCGGATTAGCCGACAGTTTGCTCATCAGAGGAAAACCAGGAAATGATAAGACGCTAAGGGAGAGAGCTGTAAGTAGGAGGTAGTAGGTACTACACAAGATGAGGCTATGCTCTAAAATCTGGCGAGGGCACGAATAGAAGTATGGTGGGCGCTGCGTAAGCAGGACAATGATAATTTCAATGATGAATGACAGGGTGAAAAAGGAAGATAAACTGGAAAAGGTAGGTATATACGTAGAAAATTAGGAAAAATTGGGAGGACAGCAGCTGAATGAACCAGGGTAATCTGAACAAGTGAAAGGTATAGAAGAATATGTAGCTATAGATAAATGGATAAGGGGGAATGTGGAAATGGAGATAAAAAATGCAGGTACAACTACTTTACTTACTATTGTGAGGTACGCAGTCGACACAGCCCGACGCAGCTGACTTTGCTCGTGACTGTTTTTTAGGTTGACAGTACTGCGGATAGTACTGCGTGAGACTTGTCCTTATCCAAGTAGCAAGCCTTATGTAGCTACAGCTCTCCAAGATGTCCGTCCGGGTGGGATGTCGTAGGAGGAATACGGGACACGGGAAATGAGGAGGGGTAGGAAATAAGGTCAAATCAATCAAGTCCCCCTTTTACTCTGAATATACCACTGTGAAAAGTGTACGAATATTAGTTCTGTAGACAAGTGCGGAGCAGTATAATAGGAATAGGATAGATTCTGTCAGGTTGTGGCAAAAGAGTGACGATTGAGGGGGATGAGTGATGCTAAGTTGCTTAGGTTAGGTAGGTCTTGAAAAGAAGACGATCACGAACGGCTCTTGGTTCCTTAGCCCTTGGGAATTTGGGGGAGTGGGTCTTGTTTAAGATGCCATTCCCCAGTTAAAAGCGCAGTAAAAAGACCCTAAGAAGGCCCCAGCTTCTTTTTCCTTGGAGCTTCTTTGCGTTCGTTGCCTTCTTCGCGCCTTCCAGAAGGGCGCACAGGCCTCTAAGACATCCGTGTCCTACAACTAAAGGTACCTGCTGAAATCTGCAGCTTTCCAGTGCCTATCGTACCTATATTGAGCGGTACATCGCTTTAACTTTAATTTTTATTACCTACAGCCGAATGCTGAATGATGCAATAGAATTTGACAGGACGTAAGGCACTCAAGCCTTAGAACCCGAAACGATCCGGAATTTATTGCACATACGTATTCTTACCTGCCCGTCAAAAAAGAAATCAAGCTGATTGATACTTGGCCCCTATCATGTCTGAAAGGTGTGTAACGCAGACAATGAGGTGCTTGTGAAACCTGTTGGTCTCCAAGCGGAAGGGGGTTTGGTTTCCTTCGCAGTCACCAGTCATGGCACCTAAGATTGATGTTCGTTAGCTCCTTCTGGAAAATCCCACATCCAAGTCTAATTGGTCCAAGCTCCCCAGCTGTAAAAAGGCGGCAAGCCCTTGACAGACTTGACAGGCAGACAAGGTGCTTATTCTTACATGTACATACCTCGTTGACTCAAACAATCATGTACCTATTGCCGATGCATATGTACATGTAGTATTGATTTCTTTTTATAAGTCCATTCGCTTTTCAGTAATGACTTGACATGATAATCTCACCGCTTATTTTCTTTTTCTTTTCCGACCTTCTCGGGCTTTATGCATTTGATATGACTGAGAATAAGTTCATTCGTAGCCTCGAAGTTGCGATAGTTGGTTCGTCAGCACAATATGAGTTATTTCCACCACCTACTTCCATAGCTCAGCTAGCAAGCCACATATGTCTAGCTATATAGGTACCTACACATGGAGGCCTATATGTGCCTACCTAAGGTATGATAGGATACGGTCGGCAGAACTAGATAGGCGGATAAGTAGACCAAAATTAGAATCTTATGATTACTTGCATTCTTGCGTTACCGTCTCACCTAAGATTTCGCCTCTTAGTCAGCCTTCTATCACATTTATGTCGCTTTAACTGCGCTCGTCAATTATGACTATTGTTATTGATGCCTTAAGAGATTACATGTGTATATATAAGCCTTATAATACACGCTACTTTACCTGTGGTGAATCTGTACGCGTCTTTGCGGTTTAGAAGGTAAATGCAGAGTTCAAGCTGTCTAACCTAGACTAATCTTAAATTCTACTATATGTAGGATTGACTCCAAATATCCAAAACAGTAGGTTGGTTATATGGGATAGTTTTAACTTAGTGTATTGTATGCAGACAGGAAATGCTCTAGTGGCTAAGATTAGTATCTCTTACTCATAAACTTACAGTATAATTGGCGAGGAAGGCAATAGAAAAAGGTCAAATAGTTCAAGAATAGAGAATACTAACCTAAAATCATGTTGTCGAGTAAATCTCATCTCGATATTCATAGTAGTAACATTTCATATGTAAAGATCGAGGTCGACGAAGCAAGAGAGAATTTATTAAATAAAGATAAATAGAAGCAATCCATCCGCTCTTTCTCTTATAATACGACTAAAATGATCCTATGGCTCTATTCTGGCCAGGGCTACTCAAAGCATCGTCAAGGTACAATATAGTACCAGTTTTCCTATCGACCTCTCACCTGTCGCATGTAATGAAATTAACCAGCATTCCACTGCAAATCTACGCAGCAGAAACTAACTTCTCCTCCTTACGCCGCTGTTCTTCCTCCAGCACCTCCCTCTGTCGGTGCGCAGCCTCACCTACAGCCTTCATACCTTTCTTCCGCTGCCGCTCCTCGTAGAGATCTCTGCTCTTCATGATACGCTGCACGATAGTACCCGCGTTTACGTCCTGGAACTCGTGGCTCTGAACCTCCTGGAAGATTCCCATTTCCTTCGGCACAGCATACGGGTCGTACGAGAGCGGCATGAACGATGTTGGTCCGTGGTACACAGCATCAGGGGTGCCCCACGGAGAGCTCGTGAGGTATGATTTGGTTGGCGAGAAAGGGGCGCCGAAGATGACGGCGTTGACGTACTGTTGATAATTAGCAATATATTACTGAAATGAAAAAAAGAGAGGGGGGGGGAACTGTTGAGGAAAAAGAGGCTACGTACCCGACATTGAAGCACGCATAGACCGCGCTCATAGATGTTCATAATCGGATAGTTGACTCCCTTCCAGTAGTTAATAACCTCATCATCATGAACTCCAGCAACAACGAAGACAGGCCCGTAATCAGCGCCCTTGCCTCGGCGTTCGTCGACAGCTTGCTGATCATACCAGCCCTCTTGTCTCGCTAGCTTCTCTTCAGTGAGAACGACTTGGCGTAGAAATTCGATATGTCCGCTAGAAAATAGATCGAATCCCCCGTCGACGTAAACGACTCTTTGGCCAGGTTTCGGACCATGCCCCTTCAGTAACGGGCGGAACGAACCCTTCTCATCCGTGATTTCGGTCTTCGCGGCGGTGGAGGCTGACCAGAAATACACACCCGCGCCGGGATTCTTCCCAGACTCGTCAGTAGCGTACTGGCGAATTCGATTCAACATAGCTTCTCCTTCTGACTTCCTCTCGGCTTCGATACCGCTACCCTCTTGGCCGTTGAGAACCCTCTCTAGGGACTTGATAAAATGCGTTCTGGTGCATAATAACATACGGCCGACGAGATCGGTGGTCGATATGCTAGGGGTGCGCTTAACGACTTTGAATCGACCCGCCGCCTTAACGAAGCGGTAGCAGTCCTCGCCACTGCTATCAGACGTGATATCGTCGCCGTGCACCACGTACTTGCAGCCGAAGTGACTTATGAAATCCAGCTGCGTAACATACGGTGCGTATGCGACGGACTGGGTAACCCAGCGACAAGCATCCACTGCGGCGAGCCTTTTTCATGTAACTCCAGAGATCAGCAGAATGCTCTTGAAAGTGCGATCCGGGAAGAGCTATCCGTACCGTTCTCGAAGATTCATTACCGTAGGACCTTTATTTTCCAGGATGGCCTCGTCGGAATGCACACCGACGTATAGCTCCGTGCCGAGTTGGCGCGCCTGTAGCATAGCGCCTGCATGGCCGTGGTGGAAGAAATCCCAGCATCCGTCGACCCAAATCCGATCATCTAGTAGCTCAGGGGCTGGCGGTCCGGATAGGACCTCTTGCTCCGAACTCATGGTAAAGAACCGTTGACGATAGGGGGGGAAAAACCAGATTGTCTAAAATAGAATAAGGAGTAGCTGATTTAGGTAGGAAGCTGTGCAACTTGTGCCTGTCTATCTAAGTCGGCTAAGGTTGCTACCTATGTACCTCTTACTTACATATATTAGGTACCTAAACTACCTAACCTTAAGTACATGTAGAAAGTTAAAAGGGGTGAAGCCGTTGGTACCGTATGATATACTGTGTTTAACATGTTGTTATGCACACTAAATACGACCCCTCATCTCGGGACCATATCGATAAGAGCTCCGTAACTAAGCTCCGTGACCCCACTATCGCATGCCGATATCATAAGTTCCAAGGTTCAAATGTTCCAAGCAGCCGGTTTACATGCAGCTCCCTGCCTATCCCACATAATCCCATCTTTACCCCAGCAATTCGCAAACCCTCAAAACCTCACACAATGTCCTCAGAAACCACTGCCTCAAACGGCGGCCTAACTCCCGACCAACTCGCTACCTTTCAGCGCGACGGGTACCTCATCATTCCCGACGCCCTTCCCCTCACAACCGTGCAAGCCCTCCTCGCCGAAACGCACAAGCTCCTAGAGGATTTCCCACTGTCCTCGCATCCCCTAACACGGTTCAGCACCGGCGAGAAGTCCGCCCACGTCGGCGACGAGTACTTCCTAACGTCCGGCGACAAAGTGCGCTTCTTCTTCGAGGAGGACGCCTTCGACACCCAGGGCAACTTAACCAAGCCCAAAGCGCGCGCCATAAACAAGATAGGGCACGCTTTGCATGCTCTCTCACCACCGTTTGCGGCGCTTCTGGATCCGGCGCTGAATCCGGATTTACTGGGCGCGGGGACCAGTGGGGGTAGCGTGGAAGCGGGCCGTAAGGAGAGTCATCCAGCGGCGGTCGCGCGCGCGCTCGGGTTTAGGGATCCGAGATGTCTCCAGAGCATGGTCATATGCAAGCAGCCGGAGATCGGGGGCGCGGTGCCGCCGCATCAGGATAGCACGTTCCTGTACACGGAGCCGCCGAGCGCCGTGGGGTTCTGGTATGCGCTCGAGGACGCGACAGCCGAGAACGGATGTCTAAGTTTCCTTTCAGGGAGTCACCTATGGGCGCCTATTCGGCAACGATTCGTGCGCGCTCAGGGTGGAGGCACCGAGTTTGCGGATAATGAAGAAGCGAAGTTTCCGCCAGGTGAGGAGTATGGGAAGAAGGACGGACAGAACGAGAATGGTGAGTATAAGATAGGCGAGGTTAAGGCGGGCTCGCTGGTGTTGATACATGGTAATTTGCTGCACAAGAGCGAGAAGAATCTGAGTCAGAAGGGACGCATTATTTATACATTCCATGTTATTGAGGGCGAGGGGACGAAGTACGATGAGCGCAATTGGCTTCAACCGCCGGCGGATGGGTTTACACGATTATATAGAGATTAATTCGACTAGGAGTACTTCGTATTAAGTAGCTTACATGAGGTCGGGGGTCCTAAGTTAGGTTTAGAGTGTATTAGTTATGTAGATCGTTAAGCAGGAAAACCTGTCAATGTATTAAATCAACTACTCGATCCAAGGGGAATAGACAAGTTTCCTCAAAGATGTTCTAAGGGCCCTGAGGTAGGAATTTCCCGTTCTCTAGATGTCCGAATAGGACTATGGCGACGTTCTGAAGGAGGAAATATACTATATTTTATTGACATAGGACACCTTTGCCGAACAAAAGCATACCCTACAGTTCCGGCTCTCTTGGTATTGTCCCTCTGCCCCCCTTTAATACGCCAGGCTAGAGGACATCGAAGTATAAAATACCTTCCTCGGGACGCAACCACGCTGCGTCGACTGGAACCTATGAGCTGCAGTTGTTCTGATATCCCCACGAGACGTAGTAGTACACGGTTGCATGGAATGACTCGTGACAGACACCAATGGCCGAGAGTGTCGCGGATGTACGCCAGTACACGAATCCGTTAGTCTCGACGCCCTTGACGCGGAATACCGATTTCTGTGATATTAAAGGATGTCTGTATAGCCAGCGCGTAGATCCAAATCTTACAAGCCAGATAAAGAATAACCACCCAGCTACCCTGTACAGGTAACAGTCAATAGCTGGTAAGTAGCAAAGCAATACCAAGTGACTAACAGCTCAGTGTGTTGGCTACTCGATTTAGATGAAGCATATCGAACTCACCTTCACCAAACATGGCTATAGCTTCGTAGGTCTAAACTTGAAGACGCATTGCTGGGACTTAGATCACCTTTACCTCACAATAAACATGTACTATTTACCATGTCCTTTCACAATTGATAATGATGTCTTGCATTTCACATCTATGTAGTAAAGCAAGTTACATGTGCCATGAACATCGCATTTTCTATTGATTAGAGGTCACGAAGCCCCTTTACATACAGTCGACTTGTCCATCCGCCATAGGACGACGGCACAAGTATAAAAAAAAAGTCGCGAAGCCAATAAGCCAAGGCGGAGGCCCCTAAGTTGCGCCGTGCCGTTGCTGGACATCGAACGGATCTCCCCCTATTCTCTATCTGCAAAAGCTCAAGACGGCCAACATTATATCCTCGAGTAGTAGCTGCCATCGATTGTGATTCCGTAATAAAATGTGTTGTGTAATGAGTACAGGCGAAATGACCGATCCGAGTATGAGTTAAAAGTCATTTGCAATATTTGCAAGCAATGAAGAAGAAAAAATGCTGCTTGCAAGAATGTGGCGGCAATTATCCATCGTTTCCAATGTAGGGGATTTTTCATCAGATTTCATCCACTCGTGAGCTCGTGAAAGCCTGTCCTGGAATTTTCCTTGTTCCTAACTGGGTACCACCGTGACGAGTAAGTAGGCCGTGGAACGTCCCAATCCCTTCCTAGCGTCGCTAACGGCCATAAGGATGGAAGCCTCGGCTGCCACCGCCACCTCGTCCTCCGCCGCGGTAGTTTGCACCCGGCTTGCCAGCATTCTTCGGACCCTTGGGTGCGTCAGCCGGCGGAGCATGGTTAGGATCGACCGGAGTCGGACTCTGTTGATGAGCACTCCTATTTCGGTGGAAGCCACCACGACCTCCTTGGTTGAAGTTGGGCTGAGGCACATCGTCGTACATACCCTCCCACGAAGTCGGATCTGCGGCGCCCATATTGTTGTTGTTACTATAGCCTTGATTATATCCCCCTCGGCCTCCACGTCGGCCCCCGCCGCCACGCGGGGCAAACATCTGTTGCTGATTGTTGAAGTCGTTGAATCCTTGCGGGCTTCCGTCACCTTGACCCTGACCCTGACCCTGACCGGCACCTCCGTTCGCCATCATCTGTTGCTGCATCTGCTGCTGCATCTGCTGCATTAGAGCCGGGTTCATATTGGGCATTCCTGCCATCGGGTTGTTTTGGCCATTTTGGCCGCCACCTTGGGCCATCTGCTGCTGGAGTTGTTGCATCTGTTGCATCTGCATCATTTGCATCATGGCAGGGTTTACGGCTCCCATGCCCATGCCTCGGTTCATAACCATTTGCTGTTGCATCATAATGTATTGCTGCATTCGCTGCATATATTGGGCCATGACTTGAGGGGTCATGCCTCCTTGGCCCATCTGACTGGCCATCTGGGCCTGGGGACTACCCTGTTCTTCCATACCACCTTTCCTGAACTTGCCGCGTCTCGAGGCTTCCTCTTCCTCGCGCATGTTGCCTCGTGGCTGTGCCTTCTTGACCTCGATGGGCTTACCGTGGATTTCTAGGTGAGTACTGAGGCAAGCATCAACACCAGCTTCACTCTCAAACGTGACGAATCCAAACCCTCTCGGGCGACCGGTATCTTTGTCCATCATAAGGGTAGCATCAACAACCCGACCAAACTGGGCAAAATAGTCTTTGAATTCCGGCTCGGTCGTCTCCTGGCTGACACCACCGACAAAGATCTTGCTGGTTTTCTCTTGCTCATCTCGTGGGATAGCTCGCTTCGGATCGATCTAGGCTTGTAATTAGTATCCAAGCATTGCAAATAACCTTTGTGAAGGATTTTATTAGACTGACAATCTTCCCGTCTAAGAAGTGCTCCTTGACCATAACAATGTTCACCGTCTTAGGATCCTTGAAGGTGAGGAATCCGAACCCTCGCGATCGGCCTGTGGCACCATCTCTCATCACTGTACATTCCGTCACCTCGCCGAACTGGGAGAAATAATCGCGTAGCGACTCTAATTGGTGGATATTAGCATGGTAAGTCGAACAAAGCCACATATGTACCTGTTACTTACGATCAGTTGTTTCCCAGTTGAGACCACCGATAAACATCTTCCTACACAAACAGGATAGTTAGTATGGATTACACCAGGAATAATTACGAATTATGAAAGCGCATTTGCCGAATGCCGAAGACAAGTCAGTATATGCAAAGCTTTGAGCGAACACGATTGCCGCTTGGCAAACATACTGAGCTCTTATGCGGCTCGCCATAATCCTGGATAACTGATCCTTTAGCCTTGAATTCTTTTGGTTAATATGTTTGGCTGCCTGATCAGAAGTTTGAATGATAGGTGCATCTCTGTCTAAAGTCTGGCCACTGGCTTCAGATCCTTCGTTATCAGAATTAAACGGGATGTAATCCTCCTCTTTAGCCTTAAAAGTGTCCATAGTGACTGATGTGGTGTACGCGAAGTCTGAGGAGTTCAGATGAAGTAACGATGCATGGGCCAGCGGTGTGTAATCTCTGACAATCTGAGAAGCAAGTCCTAAATAGCACTGCTCGACAGAAATAGAACAAGGCAGGTGATGTCTGAAATGTCGAATATTTTTGTTTTCGTCTCTTTGCTATCGTCAAGCTAGGACATAACTTCGAGCGCTATTCGCTGCCAAATTTCTTGTTACAGCCTTCCAGAGTAATAGTCCCTTTTGAGCTTTATGAGCCTATTTCTGACGAGTGGCTACGGAAGGCAGTAAGTGTTTTTGTACTGACTATGGCCGAACTTTTATCGCTGGTTTTTCTCTTAAAAAAAGGTAGAGTGATTCCTCCTTAGGATTCCTCCTTAGTCTTCACCCACTATTTCTTTCCCGCGATGCACCTCTTGAGATCTGGACGACTGGTGTGCTCCCCTCCGGCTATGTATCTGAGAATATTGACCGACTTGGCAAGTCCATTACTAGATTTTCCCTTCGGAGACAGCTAGCGAGATAGAAACCCAGTTCTCTTGCCCACCAATGTCCTCCCGGCAAAAAGGCCCTAGGATACTCAAGCGTATGTCCTTTTGATTGTCAAATGTCTAATGGGGAATCATTTCCCAATTCAAACGTTTCGAGCATCATAATATGCTCGAAATATTGTCTGATATGGCTTTCAGGCATTGGCAAGATGTAACAAGGCTCTAAAGAGCCATGTAACTAATGGAAACAAACAAATCTAAACGGATCTACTTACCCGTCCTCCTTAGCACTAGCACCTCTAGCAGCATGGTATGCAGAAGCCGAATCATCTTGTTGAGGTTGCGCAACAGTGACGGCACCACTCGGGCCATTGCCTAAGTTGAAATCCACATCATCGTCATCCTCGTAGTTCTCATCTTGATATTCTTCACTATAGCCGTTCTCCTCAGCTGCGTAGGCCATTTCGCTATGTGCCTGGTCGATATCGTGATGGCTGGGTTCCTCTACGGATTGTTGAATGTTCTGGGGCGTAGGAGTGGGGATAGGAGCGGTAGGGGCTTGCACTGCCGGAGCTGCTACTGGCGGCGGCGGCGCGGCGGAAGCATCGTTGTCGTCGTATCTACGAAGGATCAGTAAATCTGTAACAAGTACATACTAGTTGATAGGAAAAATGCTAGATGTAACATCTCAAAGTAGGGGAGCGCAGGTTAAACATACAAATCAGCAAAGAGGTCATCCTCAAAGTTCTCCGTCTCCGCCATGTTGGAAGGCGTTGTTGACTCGAGTTGATGGACGCGATCGCAAAAACTCCAAAGTCGCGAAGCGGTAATCGACTTGGATTCGACCTAAAAGATTGAACCAGGAAGATTGGGGTTGTGTATCTAGCTCAATCGGCCGGCCATATAGTCCTTCCCAAGGGAACAATCTGAAAGACGCTGTGGGATTAGTGCAATTTAGAAAGAAAAAAAGTGGTAAGGAAGGACAACTGGAAGAATGGTTGAGGAGGTGTCGATGGGAAAGAATTGCAGCCTCCTAGTTAGAATGGATGTACGCCGTGAGAAAGTCTTGAGCCAATAGGAGACGCGAAGTAGGCGGCAGGCAAACTCCATTTTTAGGTTAGTTACATATGTAGGTACCTAGGTACGTATCCGCTAATCTGCTAATGTCATTTGAGGTGTTCGCCGTTGCCGTTGCCGTTGACGCACGGATCACGATGAGTCTCAGCTACCACTTAGACTTTCCGACTTTGTACCTTAGCTGTAAATCATGTGGGGCAAGGATTCACTATAATTCAAGCCACACCTACTTCAAGTTTATAGGTACCAGATACTTTGTTTACTTTCGATTATTTCATGATAGTAATCGCGCTCTACGGTAAAAATTCATATTAAATTTGTAGCCAATATTACTCCTTGTCATCTTGCGAGCCTATCAATTTAGATATTTAAAAATGGGGTTATGAGGAGTTAGACATGTACATAATGTATGTATGTAGACATAACTAACATAGTAGGTAGCACCTACACTACAATGAGGTAGTAAATCATTCGTACCTGTAACTACCTACCTACCGAGGCTAGAGCTGTGGCTTCCCAGTCAAGCATTATCGAGGGGCATTATAGGTAGCGCTGCATTGCCAGGTTAGCTCTACAGTTCGAACGTACCTAACCTTAGGTATACTCGCCTTTTATGATGTTAGTATGATACATGTACTCTTAGCCTTTCAATTGTTTTACTACCTGAGCCTTTCTCAAAATCCAAGCTGGGTGAATTACACCCTCGTCACAGCAATGCGGCTGTGATTTATTCCAGAACAAATTCCGTTGCTATGTTTTCATCCTCGGGAAGCGGCAAGAAGCCGCCGTCCCAACAGGTAAGCTCTCTTCGAGGTCAACATCTAGAGAACATTGTTTTTTTTTAATTGACGATGACGTAGGAAATGATTCAAGTCGGTGAGTACCATCGTCTTGTTATTCAATAGTGTCTCAACGCGCTCATATAGCGCCTATATTAACTTGAAAGAGACCCATTTACTAACTTGTATCTCTCTACTTGATAGACAGGTCAGAGTAGGTTACATGTCGCTTTTTGTTGGCGAAAGTCGCCCCAAGGGTTGTTTGCTAAGCTCGAATTAGGTCGACCTCGCCGTTTTGGCGTGTCCAGAGAGAAGGCGCTGCAAAGAAGACGGGCCGGGATCCTAATATAGTAGTAGGAGCTTCTTACTCCCATGCGGACATGCTTAAATTCGATAATCTGTACGTTCCTGACGTCTCTCTTTGTGTGATATTTCGTTAACCTAGCGCGCCACGTTAGGAATCTCTCTGGCTCCTCATCCCGACCGAGATCTCCTCCACCTTCTTCGCCACAGAGAACTCGAACGAGCGATGTTAGCTCGCCGCCGCCAAAGCATTCGTCTGGCCTATCATCGCCCCCACTGAAGTCTTATTTTAGCTTCTTGTCGAATACGAATCGAGATTGGGATGTTGGAGACCTTGAAGTGCCAACCGGAGAAGATATGCTTGGATATGAAGATGACGATGGGGATGACTTTGGCCTCCCAAGTTTGTCCAACATGCAGCGACGGAGTCGACGAGCCGCAGCAGCTCAAACTAGTAGCTCTTCGCACATTCAATCAACACCTCTAGACACGGCGCTTAGCTTTCCGCAAAGACGTCATTCAAATAGTGCCGACATAGCCATAGAACGACCAACACCCGCTTATCCAATGCCCAAGAAAAGCGAAGGGAAGATTCTTAGACCACAATATAAAGATATTCTAAAAGGTAGCCTCCACTCGGTACTAAGGTATTGTTCCGGTAGCTAATATTATTTAGACCCGGCCAATGCTTTACATCTTATCGATCACCCCACAACCCCAGCCAATGCGACACCAAAGGAAACCGATGCAATCAACTCTCGTATAACAAAGATCAACAAGTTCAAAAAGATTCTTCAGGCTAGTACTATACCATTAACGGATCTTAGAGCTTTAGCATGGGGTGGTGTTCCTGAAGAAGTACGGGCTATGACATGGCAACTCTTGCTGAGCTATCTGCCAACTAGTAGCGAAAGACGCGTTGCGACACTGGAGCGGAAGCGGAAAGAATACCTTGACGGAGTACGTCAAGCATTCGAACGAGGTGGCACTAACCCTGCTTCTAGTGGTCGGTCTAGAGGTCTTGATGAAGCAATATGGCATCAGATTAGTATTGATGTTCCCAGGACGAACCCCCACATCGAACTCTACAGTTACGAGGCAACACAGCGATCGCTAGAACGGATACTATACCTCTGGGCAATTCGACATCCTGCAAGCGGCTACGTACAGGGTATCAACGACCTGGTGACTCCTTTCTGGCAAGTTTTCCTAGGCACTTACATTACCGATTGTAATATCGAAAGCGGCATGGACCCGGGGCAATTGCCCAAAGCAGTGCTCGATGCGGTGGAAGCCGACTCTTTTTGGTGTCTAACAAAATTACTCGACGGAATCCAGGACCATTACATCGTCGCCCAGCCTGGTATTCAACGACAAGTTGCTGCGCTTCGGGATCTTACCGCTAGGATCGATGAAGGACTCGCAAAGCACCTTGAAAACGAAAACGTCGAGTTTATTCAATTTAGTTTCCGCTGGATGAATTGTCTCCTCATGAGGGAGATCAGCGTACGGAATACTATTCGGATGTGGGATACATATCTAGTATATTTCCTCGTGCCCTGGTTGAGCAAGCTACCCACTAACTATACTTAGGCCGAAGAACAAGGCTTCTCAGAATTTCATTTATACGTGTGTGCGGCATTCCTAGTGAAATGGTCGTCCAAACTAGTCAAAATGGATTTCCAGGAAATAATGATGTTCCTACAGGCATTGCCCACCCGGGACTGGACCGAGAAAGATATAGAACTCTTGCTTAGCGAAGCCTACATTTGGCAAAGCCTATTCAAGAATTCCGCTGCTCACTTAAGGGGAGGACCGAGTCGAGCCCCGACTAATCTACAATTATAGTAGAATAAGCAGCCCCGCTATACATAAGAACACGGATCGTCACTATAACTGGTCACTTTATTATTGGGCCCTCTAAGGCTAAGGAGAGCGTTTATCTGCTTTTTAATAATCGCGCTTCGATTGGGTATAAGGCTCAGTATTGGCCGATGCTAAGGCTTAGCCAGTAGAAGCGGATACGATTCGGGACAGTCCATAACAACCATGGCTCCAATGGAAGAAGTTACAGGTCGCTCAAAATACTTGGAGTCAACAGGATATTCGTATTTGCGTTGAAAGGCCAACATGTGGTAGTTGAGTGCTGAAGTGCTCTATTAGAGAATCTCGATCCTCGGCAACGCCTCTTTGAAGCAATACCATTCTAGCTATAGGCCTTTACGACTATAATGACTGACCACTACAAATATTTGCCATAGTGCAAGATGAACGCTGCAAGGAACCAGTGAGATAGCCGACCATATGTACTTAATATGAGCAGGCATCTTAAACCAACGAAATATGACTAGTACAAGCCCGAACGCGTAAAATAGACTTCTTAGACTATGCAACGAATGATAGTCGTGCAAGAAGTTTATGTACTCATATTACTACTATATCGGATGGCCACTAAATATGCGGCAAAATTAACGTTGATACTGTACTAATGCGGTTCTCTAATAATTCTAGGGTAATACCAGTTTCGAGGGATGATCTTTAAGAAAAAAAATCTAATTAGTTACTACCAATACCCCCTTGAGCTCAAGCTATTTGTGGTTCTATAGCTCCATAAGGTTTCGTCGCCACCCCTTCGATCCTAACATGGCCAAGCACCTCTCTCTTCGATATCGTCGGCAGCGCCGCAACCCACTTCCGAAAGCCCTCGAGGAAGGCATCTGCCGCGGCACGGTCCGACGGATCGACCGGATCTTGGTTGAGGCTTATCTGGCACATATGGGCACCAGCCAGCGAAGCACCATGCGCCCAGGAGTTCTGCTCGCCAACGACATTTGTATCGCCCACCAACGGCTTAATACACCCCTTATACCCATGCATCAGCACATCTAGCGGCAGCCTCGGCTCCGTCGTGCTCGGGCGTCCTAGCCCAACTCCATCCAACCCGCTTGCTAAAGCATCTACCATGGCTCCGACCGTCCGTATCCCACCTGTTATAAAGCACCGCGCAAGAAACACATGCGGCACAATGAGCTCTGCAAACTCGATGAAGAAGGCCTCGCGCCGCCTGGTACTCTCCTTCTTGTGGTGCCACGCCGGCGCCTCGTACGTGCCCCCGCTGAGCTCCACCAGGTCGAAGCGGTGCGTTTCCAGCAGCTGGACTAGACGTGCTGCTTCCAGAGGCGCGAACCCGCTGTCTTGGAACTCGACGCTGTTGATCTTGATGGCGAGCACGAAGTCGGGGCTCGTGGCGTCGCGGATTCCGTCGGCGATCTCGGTGATTAGACGCGCGCGGTTCTCGAGCGTGCCGCCGTAGGCGTCGGTGCGCAGGTTCGTCGTCGGGGATAGGAATTGCGCGAATAGGTACCCGTGCGCGGCGTGGAGTTGGATCCCGGAGAATCCGGCACGCTCGAGGTATACGGCTGCGTAGATGAAGGAGGCTTTTATAGCGTGGATCTCGTCTGCTGTCGCTGCGTGCGGCTTGCCGTAGCGGAACATGGCGCCGTATCCTCTTGTTAACTGTACGTCTGACGCGGAGACGGGGTTAGGCTGGTGCTCCTGCGCGGTCTGTCGTCCGGGGTGGTTCAGCTGGCCTAGGAACACGGCGCCGCCGCGTCTGCCGGCTTTAGCGAGCTTTTGGTATGCTTCGAAGCGCGAGCCGAAAAATGGGTCGGAGGGGGTTATGATCATGTTCCCGGGCGCTTCGAGGTGCGTCGTGTCGACGATGATGTTGCCCGTTACAATGGTGCCCCAACCACCGTCGCCCCAGTGCCCGTACAGGTTGCATAGTTGGGTAGTCGGTATGCCGCTCGCGCTCATGTTGTCGGGGTCCCAGGTCGCCATACGTTCGGTCATAGCGACTTTCATAAACCTGTTGGGGGCAATGGCGGTGGAGAAGGG